AATATATATTAAAAAATATATTAAATAAAATAATTAATATAATAAAATTAAAATTCAATAATAAACTTATTAGCTTCGGACTTACAATGGTTTCCATTTCCTAGTTAATTAAAGAATTTAGATTTTAATATAATTTGTTAAATTTTTTTTATACAAATTATTAAATTATAAAAGCTAAAGAAGAATAAAAGCATATACAGATGGCAAAAATTTTCAAGTTAAAAATTTTTTAAAAAAGACCAATCTTTAAAATGTGGTTTTTATCTAAATTTTGTTTTAGAAATCATAAAAATTTAAAAAAACCAGTGGATTAGAAATTGCAATAAGCTATTTATTTTAACTTCTTTTAAGACTACTGAATTAAATTTAAATTGTTATTAAAGTATAAATACTTATAACTTCTACTGTATTTATTTTTTCTTTAATTTTTACAAATTAAGTTGACAAAAATTGCATTTACGAATCAATGATCTTTTTTTCATATTAGAAAGAAACCAATTTATCAGGAAGGCACTGATTTCTAAAATATAATTAATAATTCTTTCTTTTATTATTTTTTAAAATGTAATATTTTAAATAAAAATCTATTTTTTAGATTAAAATTTTATAACATATAAATATATTACTATAGTTGCAATTTTATATACATTTAAATTGTAAAAAATCATTAACAATTAACAATTAACAATTATAATTTGATAAGTGCCTTATAAAAATGATAATAGTAATTAAAACCATATTTACTACTTTAATATAGTAGTGATGAATTGTAAAAGTTCAGTAGCCTTAAATTTTATATTATAATCATTATGTAAAAATTTTTTGTTATGATTAAGTCACAAGTTAAAATGTAAATAAGCACTATATTTTGAATAGTTTAGTCATTTGTCAAAATTATTAAATTTATGCTGAATATAGAGTTTTATCAATTTCAACAACGATACAATATTTGACTAAATTAGTTTATATCAAATTGTTTGCTAAAATTAAAAACAACCAATTATTTTAATAATCTTTTGCTTAAATAAAAATAAGAATCAAATTATTTAAACCAATGAAATAGTGGAGTTTGCATAATGTATTTAAAGGTTAAAAATATAGTTTATTATTTACTGGATTGGTTATTATTAAAATATAAAAAAAGTTGTTGACAAAATAAAAAATGTCTTCTCGAGTGATCTTTTACTCATTTAATCTAAGACGTTTCTAACTAACCAACATAAATTTATAAAAAAACAATAATCGCTAGGTCATAATTTTTAATCAATTGCTCTGAATCATACACAGCTCCTTTGAATATTTTACCTGAAGAGTAATATGAGCCAATTGATTAATTATTTATCTGGAATTCTTCGAGTTCACTTAATACTTGGTTAATGAGATATTCGCGTTTACGTTCGTATTCTTCCTTTTCTGCTCCTTGATTGTCATCGAACCATGTAATGGTTTTCTTTTATTAGATACAGATGCACATAATGTGCATCAGTACACAACATTAATACATTGATATCCAAATTACACCAAAATTTTAAAAATTTACCTGAAGAGCATTTTGTAAATTGCCTAAATATCTTTCAAAATTATTACGTGCTTGTTCTTTTTGTTTAACATTTTTATCTTCAGAGTGATATTTCATAGCATCTTTGACTGAATCAATCAGATACTGTAATTTAAGAATTCATGCTTAACGACAAAGTAACTAAATATTGATTAAGCTACATACTCATTTGTTCGATTTCTTTATTTGACAATCGATTTTTATCATTGGTGACGACAAATTTATTATGTTGTCCGGAGTTTTTATTAAAAGCCAATACCTGGTAAATTTATATATTATAATATAAGGTTATGTTAATATGTTATTATTTACTGATATCAACATTACAGTAACAAATAAATACAACAACATACTTCAAGAAAGCCGCTGCTATCAATGTCGAAAGTAACTTCGATTTGAGGCACGCCTTTAGGAGCAGGTGGGATATCAGTAAGTTCAAACTCTCCAAGTAAATTGTTGTCCACAGTTCGTACCCTTTCGCCCTCGTACACCTTGATTATAAAATTGGTTTGATTATCTAAATCTGTAGTAAAAATTTTGGATTTCCTTGTAGGTATTGTATCATTACGTTTTATAATTGGATTCATTATTCCGCCAGCTGACTCAATGCCAAGTGAATGAGGAGCAACATCAATATTTAATATATTGTCTAATTTTCCTGAGCGAACTCCAGACAAACAGGCTGCTTTCACAGCTGCACCATAGGCAATGACTTCATCGGGATTAAATGACTTATTTAATTCTTTCCCGTTAAAAAAATTAGAAATTATTTTCTGGATCTCTGGAATGCGCGTGGAACCACCAACCAATATTACTTCATGAATCTGGGATTTATCAATTCTTGCATCTCTGAGCACTTTCTCAACAGGATCTATAATTCTTTGAATCAAATCTTGATTTAAATTTATGAATACATCTCTAGTTAATGAAGTATGAAAGTCAATGCTCTCAAAAATGCTGTCAATCTCAATGAAAGCTTGTTTGGATGACGACAGTGTACATTTTGCACGTTCACATGCAGTCCGAAGACGACATAATGCACGCTTGTCTGTAGTGATATCCTTTTTAAATTTACGTTTAAATTCAGAAATAAAGTAATTTACGATGCGTTTATTGAAATCTTCACCACCTAAATGGGCATCTCCTGCGGTTGCCATTACTTCCAATACTCCTTCCCCAATATTAGTTATGAGAGATACATCAAGAGAGCCACCGCCAAAATCAACAATAACAATGTTACCTTCTACGGAAATTCTATTATCTAATTTATAAGCGATTGCAGCTGCTATTGGTCCGCTAATTAACCGAAGAATGCTTAATCCGGCTATATTAGCGGCATCTCTTATAGCTTGGCGTTGTGAGTCATTATAATTGGAATCCACGGTTATTACTGCAACCGTGACTCGTTCCTTAAGATAAATTTCAGCCGAATCTTTCAATTTGCATAATAACATTGATAAAATCTCTACTGGTGAAAACTGTTTGATTTTGCCCTTGTATGTAACTTGAATATAGGGTCTCCCATTCATATCAATAACTTGGAATGGCCAATACTATTTGTAATAAAACGTTATGTTATAGAAATGTTTGTAAAAATGAATTTAACCAAATATATATATATACTTTTTATTTCTTTTAAAATAATAAAGTGCTCACATTCATGTTTAGCTGTACTTCTGGATCATTAAACTGACGACCAATTAGACGTTTTGCATCGTATATTGTATTGAAAGGGTTCATTGAAATTTGGTTCTTTGCATTTTCACCAATTAATCGCACTGCGTAGGAAAAGGCAATGTACGAAGGTGTAAAGCGATTGCCATGATCATTAGGAATAATTTCAACTTTATCGTCTTTCCATATTCCAACACATGAATAGGTGGTTCCCAAGTCAATGCCAACTAATTTTTAAAAACCAATTTAAAGTAATATTCACAGTAACAAAGAATAAATATATAAACATACTAGAGTTTTTTCCCATCTTTCTTTAGGCAAAGAGAAATTTTTGTGAGAGAAAAGTGATAAATTGTTTTAAGAGGAAATAATACGAGTATATGTATATTATTACGCCAATTTTTGTGTGACGTCTTTAAAAATTCATTGTTTCCTTCTAAGTAAGCATAATTAAAGGTTTACAGGTGTTATAACAAAAAATACAATGTCATCGTGTTTTTGCTTTTTCGTGTAATCATATGGTCAAATAAATAGTTACTAAACTAAGTTTTTACGTATTAACATAAAGATACACTCATTCCCTGTTTCCTTCCGGTTTACGCTGATATATTTTGATGGTGCATACTAAAATATTTCTATTGTTGCCTTAATTAGTTTAATTATTTTTGTTCAACAATTCTTCTAATGCTGCTGATCATAATAAGATCTCTGGGAAATTAGTCCGTGTGACAAACGAATAAACGATAAATGTATGTTTTTCATTTTTAGTATATTTGGAATTTTTGATTCTTTTAACTATATTTATAATATTTTTAGATCTCAAAGACTAAGTTTGCACCTGAGTATTCTAATGCGCTAATGTGGTAATCTTCACTATTATTTATTTGGCCGATCTAGGTTGTTTTAGAGATTGGTATTGAAACGCAAAGAAATTACGAATATACACTGTAGAAAGGTAAGAAAACGATTGAGTGCACAAATTACACGTGATCCAATCATGTCATAATTGAATATATGAGGGAGTTTTGTGATAATTAAAATCTTTGGGATTTTTGTGATATTATAGATACAAAAAATATTATTGAATCTTAGGGATATAGTAGAATATGTATATATGACATAAGAGAAAGAAAAATAATAATAAGGAAAATAAAGTTTTAAATTTAACACTAAATCAACTTGTATGTATTCACTTACTGTACCTCGCACCAGATCTAACGCCTCTTTCGATGTTACATGATTGGCGATCATGACAGATTCGCTAATTAAACCCAACAACTGAAACAAATACTACAATATCAATAAAATTATTAAGCAAATATTGTATATTTCTTTAATTCATGTATACCGTATAGACGCGAAATAACACCCATGGGCGTTATTTTGAAAATGACTCTTAAAAAAATAACCTCTTGTTTTAAAATAACGCCCATGTGCGTATTCGAAATAACGCGCATTTATATATAAAAGATAATAATTGGCAAAACTGGTTGAAACTTTATTATACATGTATAATAAAATATATTATTCAATATAAAAAAATTTATTTACTAAATCCTATTTTCTATTTTCAAAATCCTTCTCTTCATCAGTTTCATAATCATAACTTTTTTCTATCAAATCTTTAAGATCTATTTCATCAGACGTTAATATAATAGGTCTAAAAAATTGATCCTTTATCTTGAGATAACGCACATGCGCGTACTCAAAATAACGCGCAGGTATCTGAAATAACGCGCAGGTGCGCGCCTACACGGTAAATCCTAATTATAAAATCCAATATTTAGACTTCATAAATATTATGATTACAATAATCTCGAAAGGTCAGAATACATATTTATTGATTCACATCAAAATTTATTGCTATTCATTATTTTCAAATATTCAATATAGCATTTTTTATGCTTAATAATTGTAATATCATCTGTTGCAGACTAAATTCCTTTAAATTTTTCAACCAAAGCTATACGACATATAATTATGGAATGAGTCAACATGATCATGCTTGTTGAGATCATGACAGGATGATCCAGACAATTGAAGTTATTTTAAATTCCTTGAATATTAATTAAGAACCAGTATACAGTATAAACCAAGTGTCAATACAAGCAAAACCTATTAGGTGTTAATTTAGATATATTAGAAGGTTCGAATATTTCAATGAATTATAGAGCAGTTGGTATTGCAGGTTTAGAAAGCATTACTTGAGAATAATATTTTATAATGTTAAGTAAAATATTTAATAATTTATTAATAATATAAAATCATTTTGACATTTTATAAAAATTGATTAAATTATTTTATTAATCTATTAAATAATCTTTATAAATTTTAATCAATTCAAATTATATTTTTTATTTTTAAAAAGCAAACAAAATTAATTAATACTGTATAAATAGTACAAATTAATTATTATTATATATAGTACAAATAAATTATTATGATATTTATTCATCTAAGTTTTATTATTTAAAAAATTTTGATATACTTTCATTAATATTTATTGAATAAATTCATATCAAAATTGTTATAACTGGTCTGATTTATATCTATAACTTGAAAATATATCATTTATTAAATAATTTGTTTTAAGTTATTTTAAGTTATTTTAATCAATTTAAGTCAAATTTAAATCAACCATGTAATAGTTAGTTTGTATTACAATTGATTCTCAAAATAAAAAAGTATATCTTATATTACAAAATTTAAAATTTTTTATTATAAATTTTATAATTAGATAAAATTGTTGTAATTAAGTTTTTTTTAAATAACAAATCCAAATTACTAACAGATTTTTTAAAATTACATGACTATTATAACACTAACAAGAATCATTTGTTCAAATTTTAAAGTAAAATAATTTTTTATTTTGATTTTTTTAATAAATAATATTTAGATTTAAAAAAATTATATAATTTAAAATCTTTAACTTTATATTGTGTATTATATAATAATAAATTATTAAAAAATATAAATATTTTTTTTTTTGCAATAAGTATAATCTGTATACTTTTTATTTAACAAAAAATAATTATTATATAATTAAATTTTGATAAATTTGTTATCTTTGACATATCATATATTTTAAAATTATTAAATTAAACCAATATTATAAAATATTTTTATTTGAAATTTTTATTAATAAAATCTTTAACTTTAAATTAATTTATTATTAAATTCTAATCTAATAGTTATATATATCATGACTCCATATATTTTTTGTGAGTTTTTTCCAGTAGATAAATATCATTTCTTTATTTGATATTGTATATAACAAAGTATATATCGTAAAAGAAACAACATCTCTTGGGTGTATTGTATACAACAAATTAAATGTTAGCTTGTCTACTTTACAATATCTAACTAATATCATAAAAAAATTCAAAATCAGCTAGATAAGGCTAAGTAGCGGTTATACCTACCATTCCAGGAAATTTTGCAAATTCTTTTGATTTTTTAAGTATAAAAAATTGAAAAGAAAAATAAAAGTAACTAGAACTAGAACTATATCAAGCAGATTATAATCTATAGGTAGAAAACTACTATTTTCCCTCGGAAGCCTCCAGACAGGCTCATTGTCCCATTTCTCTGGCTTGTCAGTTACCATAGATAATAAAGTATATGGGACATTGTTTGTTGTTATAGTTATTAGTAGTGTGTTAGTTGTTGTTGTGATCATTATTGTGATATAAAACCGGTTTGAGCTTGTTCAAGTTTTGTTTTGATCTTTAAGTAAAATCTAATTGGATGATTGAAGAGTACTAATTATCTAGAGGAGGTAAACTGATTTCAGTTTTTTGGATAAAAATTTTTTGGAAATTGAAAATAGCACAGCTAATATTGTCACGAAAATATTATGTGTGTGGGTTGACTTAAAACAAACAGTAGATCCACCAACTCTATTTGTAAATGTGTTTTGGAAAGTATTTGGTTTGGCAAGTATAATGGTAATAATATAGATAGTTTTTATGATATAATAAAGGTAAGGTGGGATGCAAGAGAACTGAAGAAAAGAGAATTGCCATAGGCCTTTCTTCATGCAACTGAAGAATAAGCAAGACTCCCAAACTTGAATAGACTTTGACCAGAGATTCCATTCCACTACACCAGTTGTCTTGAAGATTTCCAAGTTCTTAAGCTGGGGCTCACTTGCGATAAAGAGTGTAAAATATTTTTTTTGCTTAAAATTACCATAAAAGGAAAATTTTTAACAAAATGAATATGATTAGGAGAGAGTTTTTAATATTAAATATTTATTTATATTTAATAAAAACTTTATGGTATATATATATTTTTTTCCCCTCCAAAAAAAACTCTTTCCCGCAAATCTCCAAATTCCTAAAAATTTCCTTTTTTGGTAATACTACAAAACACTCAAAAAA